ACCACCACCACCTCCACTCCATCACTACAACTACCACCACATGATTAATACATAACACTTTTAACATCATGTCTATTTTAGTCATTATTAACAGTTACAATAATTTTATATTAAAATTTACCAAACGCTTTTACACTACTTTTTGTACTAACAGCCCTTTAAAAATATTGTTTACCAAACATTGAGCTGCTTTACTTTACAGCTAATTATTTTCAAAGCACAGCAGAAGCAACTTTTTTTAAAAGTGACAGCAATCCCAAACTAGGCCTAAAATTCTTGAGGCACAAATGAATTAGGGTTTGGGGATGGGAATTTGGGGTTTGGGCAAAAGGGAGTTTGGTTTAGGGTTTGGGTGAAGTCTGGGAAAATTGTAGAGTTCTCATCCTTGTATGCTACCCGTGCAAAATAACTTCGATTTGTTTTTTGTTTTGATTTAAATAATATAATATTTAAAGAGTTTTACTTTTAGGCCCAATATAAGGACATCTCCAGTCATGAGTCAGGCCCAAATATAACACTAAAATAATGCAAAAGGGTGAAACTATAATGAGGGGCAAGTTATAAGGGGTAAGTTATAACCATCAGATCAATCCAAGAGCTAGGGACAATTGAGATAAAGTTTTACAATCGGGTAGGTGAGGAACCCAAACCCGAATTTAATACCCAACATTGAAGTTTGTAAAAATAAAAAAAAGCAAGTTTGAAGTTTGAACAGAAAAAACCCATAGCTCTAATAATCGAAACCCATAGCTCTGAGAAACAACTAAGCTTTGAGAAAGCCATAGCTCTGAACAAACGACGGTTGAAGGCCACTCTTAACGACGGTTGAAGGCAACGGTTGAACGCAAGTCCGTTCTCTAAACCTTGAAAAAGTATTTAGTTTGAGTGGAAGGGGCAAAGGCGTGGATTCCGAAACAGTGAAGGGGCGAAGCAGTGGAAGGGGAAGGAGCGAAGCCGTATTCGTTGGAAGTGATAGGTTCCATTTGTGGAGCAAAGCCGCACAAAGACCCAGCACAGACACCCTGCGACTGTTCAATAACCAGCATTTGGTGAGTAATTTATGGAATTTAAGTTTAGGGTTAGAGTAACGGTTTTCCCCAATTTGTACCGTCAATGTTGTTGGATTTGGATATATATATATAAAATAAATATTATTTCCTTTGTTAGTAAATTTGCCTGTGAAAAATGAGACAGATAATAATAAACTCATGAATAAAAGTGCAAAGCATTTGAAATAAAGGTTGGTCCATGACCAGTGGGTAGCTCTGGCACGCAGCTTTTTGGGGTTCCAAGGTCCTTAGGTAGCAGGACTTCTCCATGTGGGTGAGGCGCCACCCACTTTTCCTTCTTGTTTTCTCACCAAAGCTTGAAGACGAAAGAATGGGTAAGGGTGCTGGTCAAAAGGTGATTTACTTCCATCAGTACATGGGTTTGCTTGGTTTTGATGGTTTGGCTTCGATCTGGTTTTAACAAAGATGCTGGATATTTTCCACGATGCTGGGCTGGGCTATTGGTATTTTGTTTCCAACGACCTGTGAGTTTGCTCAAGCTGCTAGAAACAGCCTATTTGATCAAGGTGCTGGATATTTTGGCTGATGTGGGATTTTTCCAAGTGTTGCGGGCCTTTTCTTAAGGTGATGGGATATTGGGTTTTCTCTCTCTTGCTTACCCATATGTTTGGGCTCAAGGAATGGGCTTGAGTTTTGGTGCTCCTAAGCAGCCCAAAACTTCCACTCATTGGACCATCAATGGGCCTCGTGAATACTCGTAACCATCCATACCACAACTCGCTCATCAAGCCCCAGGCATTCACGTGGCTTGGGTCCACTTAAGCTTGTAGCATGGTATGTTGTTTATTTGCTTGGCGTGACACGTGTGCAAGCGCATATGCCGAACTCTTGTGTACCCAAGTTGGGTTTTTTCCTAAATTAGGTGTTTTACTGGGCCAGAAATATATTTGGGCCCAGTCTTGGATTTTTTGGGCCTCATCAGTTTGAAAAGTGAAGCAATTACTAAAACCACTCCAACTCATCATGCCATTCGCTACGAGAAATAATGTGTGCAGTAACAGAATTTAATAGCGCTTATGAGAACGAGATAGATCAAAGGCAAACATTCCCACGAAAAATATAAATATTCAATAATTGAACTCTTAGATTGATTTACTACGAAATTTCTCTCTCTTCAATATTTGCTTTCAATATGTTGAAACTAGCAAATTAATAACTATAAAGTATAAACTAATGGAAGTAGGCCACACAATTTCAAAATTGCTAGGGCATCCTTCTTTGCAAACTCTCAAACTAGAAAGCTTATGTTTTGCTTCCAGCTCAAAATAATATTTTAAAAATATGTAGAGGGTATAGCGGCGCGATTATAACAATTTGTGAAAAATAAAGAAGGTATTAGTCACAATGAATATATAAGGGTTAGAAAACATAGGGGTAGCCACAGTCTGGATTGGATTTGTTTCACCTCAAAACTGCGAGTATCAATTTTTTAGTGTTATAAACTAATGGTTGTGTTAGTGGTTTGGATTGGATCAGTTTTTAGTATTATGTTGACCAATTTAAGAAGTAATCTGTTTTTCAAAATTTTAAAAAGAAATACAAGCGATAGTTTAAACTATAAAAAGAGGATGTTTTCTCAAACACACTATCAAAATGTCATAAAATTTA